CTTGCTAGCGGGAGCAATCGTCCACTGTCCCTCCTTCAAACCAGCAGGGCCACATTTCCACGAGCATCCTCTCCTCAAGAACGGAACAGCCCCCTCGTTCTCCTCATCCAAATCCGTCCAGGGGCGAGCCTTGACGACGTGACCTTCTTGGGTTTGCCTGCTCTCGACAAGGCAAACCTGCCACCACTCCAGCCACTGCGTTGTGGGTGCCACAAAGAGCTTCTTACACGCGGAACAAGTAAGTCCGCCAACTTCTCGCTGGTCGGCAGCACGCTCGAGTAGGGCTTGCAAGTGAGGCAGCGAATCAGGGATGTAGTCGGGCAGGTCGCCGAGGTCGGAGCTCTTGTAAGCACTTCGTAGTGCCAACTCCATCAGACTAGGAACGCGACTTCCCTTTGCACCCGGAACGCTTCTCCCAGCGGACTTTGAGTGGTAGGGTGCCGATGACGGTGGGGAGATGAGGGATGTGCTGTCTCCAGTGTCGTCCATCCGCTCCGTCTGCACGATCACTCCCTCCGGGTCAAGGCGGAACTCAGAGTGCGAGAAGCCCGAGCTATCGAGATAGTGGACTACTGATCGCACGATAAACCTGCCCGCAACACCGTCAAAGCCGGGTCTCCATGCCTCGGTCAGTTCCGAGCCCCCCGAAGCGTCGCTCTCAAGACTTTCCAAGTCAGCCAGCGCAGGCCGCTCAGCCGCCTGGAAGAAGTGGTTGCCCTGTAGAAGCAACTCTTCCAAGGCGGAGGGAGCTGCCATGAGATCCAGAAGCTCGGTCGGGAGGTATCTAAGCAAATTCTGGGCGAGGTTCAGGGTGCGGAGACTTCGCATCTTGCCAATCGCAGGGGGCAGCTCCCGTAGTCGGCATCCACGAAGCGAAAGCACTGTCAGGTGCTCCAGGTCAAATATGGCCCCCGGAAGCCGCTGCAGAGGGTTGCGGTACAGATACAGCTGCAAAGCGGGATCCTTCTGCTCAAACGGTACTCCTTCGGCAACAATGGGAATGCAGGAGAATTCGGACAGAGGGCGAATGGTAGCATCGGTAAGAGTCTTGAGTCCCATCATGCTGTTTACAGTCAGATCTACTGGGGTGCCTGCAGTTGGGTCGCACACTCACGATAGATCAATGTACTCGGTGCCAGAGTCCAAACATTGCTGTACCCTTTCCCGCGCTTCCAGTTCCTCAGCCGAGATGACGTTGCGCCGCCGAGCCATTACTCGGTCGAGCTGAGGTAGCTTCGACTGCGTGGGCAGATCGGGCATCATCACGCTCTCGTCGCCATCTGTGCTGTCGCTGCCCATCCAGACACCACTGTCCAGGTCGCGCTTCAAGGTTCGCTTGCCCCTCAGCGCTGGCCGCGGCTCCCCGGTTGCAGAATCGGAAGAGGCAGGCTGCTGGTGGAACCAAGAGCCTACATACTTCTTCTTCTTTCGCCGTCCCTCGACATAGTTGTCCAGACCTGGGTCGTCATCGCTGGAAAATACGGCAGGATCACTAGAGTTGGACCATGATGGCGGCGCGACAGAGTGGTTTTTAAAGTTGTACCTCCGCTTTCTCGGATTATTGCTAAAACTTTGGGTCTGGGCGTTCCATGAGATGGACGGCAACAAGCTGGGAAGACTGGGTTCGTCGGCCATGGCGAAGATTGGAAAGAAGATGTAAGAGAAACGAGTCTGAAATGTGTGCGAGGTCCAGCCGGCACCAAGAGATTGGGAAGCTCCCGTCCGAGGCCCGCCACCACGACCCTCGCCCGCGGGTGGGACAGCGCGTGTCGTGACGCAGGTGGGGGTTCGAACGCGTTCGGCCAGGGTCAAGTCCCACAGGGGTATTCCGCTCACACGATCTCCGAAGATAGCTCCGAACACCCTTGCACTGAGTTCCAGAAGCCGTCAAAGTGCAAGCTGGAAAGACCTCGGAGTTATCAACTTATCCAGTCTCTCGAAAAGCCATGAAAAAAGGTCATTGTTTACGTCTTGACGCGACCAACAGTTGCCTACTGGCCCTCCCGAAGCTTAGAAGCCCTTGCCCAAAAGCGGCCTAGCCTTCTTTCCTTCCCCGGGAGTCGTGACACCCTGAACCCCACCCATGCACAGGCCAATCGATAGCCGTTATCTTCAGCCTTCAGGGTCTCCGCAGCGGTAACACGCGGGGCATCAGATGCACGAAATCCAGGAACCAAGATTAGCCCCTCGTCATACGATGACACTTTAGCACCAGCTGCACATGACACTCTCCCCCGTTGCGCATAGCTTTTCACTTTGGTCTGAAGGCTTCCAAAATCGCGTGGTGGTCAAGATTTAGTTCTTGATAAACCGTCAGTTTCCCCATTGACGTATGTCCTGACCATCTCTATTGAGGCAAGTCCTCATCCTGAAGAGCATAATAACTCTTTGCATGAGAAAGGTACAAACGAGGCCTACAAGTACCATGACTTGATAACCTGGCGGCGTAGAACTTGCATTGAGTCAAGCTGCGCATGCTGTAGAGATTGCGGATGATCAAGGTATCAATCCCGGTCCATCCATCTCAACCGGGGTATTGCCGCACATCACGACGCATTCACACTGACAACCCGAGGACATCTCTCAGTCCCAGTCGTCATCGTCGCTGTCATGTCCTTTGGACTTTGACACGTTTCCTTGTCGAATACTTTTGCCCATCGCCCTCTCTTCCTCTTCGTCCTCTGCTTGCCTCCGGCGCTTGGCCACGCGCATATCCGTCTCCGGTACAGCGCCGACCTCGACCAACAGGTTGTCCAGCTGAAGCATGTTGATCTTGACGCCTCCCATCTGCACAAGTGTCACGACCTGCTTAGCAATGTCGCCACTCTTGTAGACCAAGATCGTCGGGCAGTTTCGTTCGGGGTAGTTCTCGATGGCCTTGTCCGCGCGCATTTCACAGAATTTGATCTCTCCGTATTCCTGCGCTGCCTGCTTCCAAAGCTCTGATAGCACTCGCGACTCGACGTTTGTGCCCAGTGATGACGTCAAATTGACAAAGACCGGGCCGTTGTTGGATGCTTCTGTGACCTCGCGCGAGTATTCGGGTTTTGAAATCGGGTAGACGGTGCCATGGAGGGCCTTCTTGGTAAGCTCGTTGAGCTCTTGCATTCTGCGCTGACGGTATTGTTCCAGGAATGCCTCATCTTCGTCATCCTCCAGCTCATCAAGCTCGTCGAGATCCTTGCCCTCAAGTCGATTCTCATGCGCTAACCTGCGACCTTCCGCGATGGCCTCTTCGATCATGGGAGTCGGGCTGGGAGGCTTCTCTGGGATGACGCCATGTTTCCGGAGAATGTCGTTCCTGGCAGCACGTGTCAGGAGTCGCCGAGTAGCTGTCGCGAGATAACATACCACTCGGTATCTGCATTGGGATCATCGATTGGGACTTGTATCCTCTGGTCCATCGGCGCTGCCATTGTGACGGTATTTTGTATGCGAGCAAGCGTAAGTGCAGTAAGGTACGTAGGTGAGAGTGTTTATGTGTCCAAGGCCAGAGGCTAAATGTTGGTGGATGCTACTGACACCTTAATGATATGGGCAGTGACTTCAGGCTGCAGGTTAATATCGCAGATGCCTAAGTACCCGACTGCTTGGAAAGAATGACATGGAACATGGAAGCGGCTCAAGGTGACCAGCGGCCAGGCCAGCGGTGACACCCCGCCCTCAGCAAGCTGTTTGCGGGTGCACTTGCCTTAGGTAAGATGGCCGGGGCAGCAGGTCCGCAGCCAATCACAGGCGATAGTGAAGTGTAGGCGTCAAGTCCCGTGATCCAGCCCTCCTCGGCACACTGTCCTCCCCTAAATTTTTAATGTGGGTCCTCGGAGAGAGGATTTTTGGCGGACGGGTCCCCTCTCTGGCTCACAATTCCACCACCCCATCATCACCGTTCTTTTGCGAGTGCTACAATCTGCTCTCTCAACACCACCAGATTCCCGTCAAGCCCGACAGCACTCGCATCCGATAACCGATCAATCAATCCTCGATCAGATCAGTCAAGATGGTAAGGCCCTCCTGCTGCCATGGCATTTTATGCCTGGCATCACCCGTGTGATGTTGTCTTCTTCCACGACGAAACGAAACCCGAACAAACCGACCGCATTGGGAACACGCGAGTGGCGAAAAAAAAATATCATGGCAAGAGGAGGAAAAGATGGTTACGGCTGGGCTGTGGAGGAAGGACACGACGATTGCGCATGCGACATTTGATGAAGGAACCATCATGCTGATGGCTTCTCCCCCAGGTTCTCGCCGTTGATCTCCTCAACCCCTCCCCGGCCGCCGAGGCCCGCAAGCACAAGCTTAAGGTACGATACACCCACGATACCCTCACAACATCTTCACCTTACCTCACCTTACCCTACCCCTCCACACCACGAACATACGGTGACAGACATGATGATACTCACACATTGGACAGACCCTTGTGCCCGCGCCCCGCTCCTTCTTCATGGACGTCAAGTGCCCCGGTTGCTTCACCATCACCACCGTCTTCTCCCACGCCCAGACCGTCGTCATCTGCCAGGGATGCACCACCGTCCTCTGCCAGCCTACCGGTGGTAAGGCGAGACTCACTGAGGGCTGCTCTTTCCGCAGAAAGTAAACTGTTCGCCTCGACGGTTTTCTTTTAGCCCTTGGGTATTAACGACTTGGACGGTTCATCACTGGTGGGACATCTCGGATCTGCAAAAGCAAGCGACCTGGGCATGGGCGTATAGACAACCCTGGCACGGGCTCTTAGAGTCTGCTGTCTTCGAACAGAACATAATCAGACACCTTTGCGGATAGAAGATGGAGCTTCCAAAAAAATCTCTTGACCAAAAAACACAGGGGCGTTTGGGGTCTCCGGATATCCTTTGCATCACCAATCGACGCATCTTTTCCTCAGTTTTCTTCTCTTTCCTCGCGCGGCCGACAAAACAAGCAAACAAAAAGGCAACCAATCACTCACCACGCACACACTCCCTCATTCTCTGTCTCGTTCCGACGCCCGTCTCTTTTTGATGCGTTGCGTTTCTTCAGTCAGTACACGACAATGGGAGTTTTATGTCATCTCTCTGCATGGGGGGTGGACAGCTGGAAATGGCTTTCCGCATGAGCGTTTGGGTGGTCCACGGGATGACCTGGACGTGAGGACGTGGAACCGCTGGTTGATGATCGCTTCATACCCGGAGTGCAGTGAGTTTCGGAGGAATCAGCACTGCTTGCGAAATTCAATGGTTTCCACAAACGCCCCGGCCGGCCTCTTGATAATGTGTTTTTCTCGTGATCTTGTGGTGTGTCTTTGTATGTGGTGAAGTGACGTGCTCGCGTGTACCTTGACGGATCTGCGACGACCCCCACTGGCTGCCCACTTATTTTGAATGTTGAAGTTGCTAGTGAAGATGCGTGGCCGTGTGAGGGCGGGCTCGTGTGTCTCGACCTTAAGATTTGTTTCACCTCACACCGGCCTCTCCGTGGCTGTCCCAATGGCTGGACCACTGAGTATATCTTTACTCTGCGTAACAATGCTCTCCGCAGCCTAGCACCAGCATCAGTGGTACACCACTAATTTGGAGAGCCTGATGCTGGGACTCATAAAGCCCAGGGATGCCTTGGCAGCTATCTCTCCATGGAACAGAACATCTGCCAAAGAAAACGTTGAAACTGTAAGGCCTCAAGAGGGTAGGTAAGGTTTGAGCCATGCTCTGAACAACGCTTTCGCTGTTGCACCACTAGAGCTTCTCCTCACGGCCTGCATAGTGCCCTGTTTGTGTATTCAGTTGCCTCAATTGGACAATGGAGGCGCACATCAAGGCCGTTTCTAAGGATGATCGCCTATCAAATGCGTCACCTTGCTGCGATGGCATGCTAGATGACACGACCTTCATTACCACCGACGCTTAACCCACAAGGGCAAGAGAGAGTGAGAATAGAAGGATGCAACAATCGTAATGGGAAGCATTGTTCAAAATCTCATTATAATACAAAACATGGATGAGATAGAACTCCGCCTCCTTTGCCCTCTCGGCCGATTCTGAAGAGGCCGTGTCGCCCGTTGTCAAACGGACTCCCGTTCCTTGAGGCAAGAGGCGGCCCGTGGAGCAGCAGCAAACTTGAATGAGAGAAACACGCCCCGACCAAGGAAGGGGGCAATGAGAATAATGGGAATGGAACGCAGGGGCGCCAATCATCCGCCGGTCAATGTCAGTTTCAGGGCACATGGTCCCCCACCAGCACAGTTAAAGTGTTTTTTAGTGATTTTAGTGGGCTCTGGCCGCGCGAGTCTCGCGAAAAAACACGCCCAGACGCGCTTTCTCTCGCCTAATCGCCCAGCTGCCGCGGATCGTCGGATGTCCCATGCGTTGTCCCTCCGTTTCTCTGCCACTCTGGGCTGCCCGTTTCTCGCAACCTTGGAAAACCGCCCGACCCAGCGGCCCAGGTCCTTCAGTATCCCCCACCACCACCCCTTCCTTCCCCCTTCTTCTCGTATCAACTTAATCTCCCATCATCTTCCCAACCACTTCTTTCTCCTCTCCTCCCCGCCCATCTCTCTTCTACGACATATCCTCTCTCGCTTCTGTACGTCATTTCTCGCTTGCGATCGTTTCTACGGTTACCACCTCCTACGCTTTTTCGGTCGACGAATTGAAACTCTCCACTCTACACCACCGAACTGCATCTCACGATACTTTTTTCTACGACGACCGGGAAGAAGTCAACGCTTGGACCACAGCCTCCACGACGGGCCACGCTTCTTCCTCAACGTCAATTTCGACCAGTCTTCTAAAGGCCGACTGTGTCAAATTCAGCTAGTTTCTCGACTTCCTCAATCTCATCACAACCATGTCGGCCCCGAGAACGAAACGTCTCTTCGCCGGCGCATCAAGCGACCCCTCCCAGCGCCAAATCACCTCCTTCTTCAGCACCCGATCTGGCCCAGCTCCTCCCCCGGCCGGTCCTTCGCCCAACGTCCAAGAAACCATACCCTCGGACGTACAATCCAACCTCCTCTCCGTCGGCATGCGCGTCCGCAAGTCCGTGCCCGAGGGCTACAAGACGGGATCCTACAGCAGCTTCAAGCTGTGGACCGACGCCACGGACCGCCGTACCCCCGTCGTCCGGTCAACTACCGCCACCTCTACCAACCGCCACCGCAGCGCCGCCTCTCAGCGTGAACTCCTGCCCTTCTGCGGCATCAACAAGGTCGGAGGCCTCTCCAGCCAGCCGGTCCACCACTCCAGCGACGAGGACGACTACGAACTCGACGACAGCAGCGTGCCTGGGCTGGACGATATGCCGGGCCTGTGCAGCTCCCAAGAGAGCGTGGAAAGCGTCGAGAGCACGGCCAGCGACGGACGGAGCAAGAAGCGCTTCTTCGCTCACGACGAGGAGAGCGACGAGCCGGTGCAGATGTGGGCGGATCGCGCGGCGTGGTTGGAGGGCGAGGTGAGCCCGCGGAGCCTGGCCCCGTCTGGGTGGGCCAACGCTCGTCCGCTGGCTGTCCCGAGGAAGAGCCGTCGTAGTTTGAAGACCAGGCTGGGGCAGGAGAACGTTGTCGTGGATGATTTCGAGGAAGCGGATTTCCTCGTTACGCCTGACACTGATATGAGCGATGCGTAAAGGAGGCTTCCTCCTTCTACGCGGATGTTCTGATGGAGATGGAGTTGTTTGTGCTATGATATTGTTTGAGTACCGAGATGGTACGGAGGCGGGCGCCTGGAGTTTTCTTTTAGGTCGCAGAGAATCACGGAGTGTGTTTCTGTTTCACTTGTACTCGGCAAGAGCTGCTTTGAGGACATTTGTTCAGTAGGGCGCGTGGAGGAACCGTGAGCAAGAGACGACAAATCTTGTTCGCGAGCGGTATGAATAGTCGAATTTGTATTACGCCTCTTCAGAGGCTAATGGTCTGCGCCATTGTGTTTTTATTGTATTGGTATCATAGGCTAGCACGTTACCCCTGAGCCCTCGCGAGCCAGCAAATTTGAGTCCCCTTTTGATAAGAGTTCCCTCTAGAGCCCTTCTCTATCCGTTGTCCTCCTATCTTTCTCAAAGTTGATGCTTGAATTTGCTTACATACCTGTAAAAGGGTCTCTGAACTCAAGCAAATCGCGCTGCCCATAAAACTCACCGGCAACAGTCAGAATCATGTTAAGCGTAGCCCGCATGTTCATCCGCGCCCGCAGCTGGTCCGAAGCCTCACCATCGCCCTCACCGTCTTGGGCAGCCTCCTCCGCGATGGGTTCTTCTGATGGTGCCTCGGATGGCGCATCCTCGACGGCCGCCGCAGTGTCTATCTGGGCGAGGAGTCGAGCGCGTGCTTCCTCGAGCGTTTCGGCCGGCGGCTGCTCGTCTTCCACAACCTCGCCTTCGTCTATCTCGCCGTCTTCGGAGACGTCCATTGACTCTGAATTTTGGTCTTCGTCGATTTCTCCGTCCTCGACTTCGCCGTCGCCAACAGAGCCTTTGGGTATCGCAACATTCTCTTGATGCTTCAACCCCTCGGCCAGGACGCCGAACTTTCCATCCGACGTCTCCGCCCCAGACGTCTCTCCGCTCCCCTCCCCATCCCTCTCATCAACCTCCATCTCCCCCAACGCCTCCTCATCATCAGAACTCTCATCAACAGCATCATTCACCCCCAAATCCATCCCCTCCCCCTCCAAAGCATCCCTCAACGCAGCCATATCCGCCAAGCTCTGCATCATCAGCACCGCCCGCCTCCCAAGATCCCTCACCCACCCGACCTCGACGTGATTCATCTCCCCGCGCTCCGGTAACCGCGCAAGCAGAGCCCACAGCCACCGGCTCGTGCGCTCCTTCATCTCGCTCCCGCGCCGGAGGAACGCGCCGCCGCCCAGCAGCACGCGGAGGACGCGCAGCACGCCTTCTTTGTCCATGGAGGCGAGTTGTGCCGGGAGAGGGTCCGCGTCGCGGAGGCGGTTGGACCAGGTTTTGTAGGTTGCCGATTTGGGCGCGAAGGCGCCGACGCGGAAGTCGTGGGGGGAGCCTGGGTGCAGGGCGGCGACGGCGGAGGCGGGGGGCGTGGCGTGGAGGAGCCCGCGGAGGCGTTTGAAGCGGGTGAGTATGGCGGCGAAGTAGGCTTCGCGGATGGCGGACTCGGAGTCGGCGCCGGCGTCTGAGTATTGGTCTTCGGCGTCGTCGATACCTTCGTTGCCGGGCCACTCGCCTTCCTCTGCTTCGTCGTCGTCGTGGGTCGCGTGAGGTTTGCCCCAGTTGTCGGGTCGTGCTGTGTATGCGCCGTCGGCGTAGTATCCCCTAAAGTCGCCCTCGCCTGTGGTGTAGATGTCGCGATCACCTTCCTCCGCTTCGTAGGCATCGTCCACGTCGCCGTCATCGTACTGGAGCTCTTTCGGTAGTTGCGGGCCGATCGGGACCTTTGGTGCCACAAGGAGGTGCGGTATACCGTTTGCTTGTGTCCTAAAATACTCACCATATCAGCATCAACCCGCGCTACTTCAAAGACCAGTTCAGCACATGGGAAAGAAGATAGCCCAGTGAAAAGGGGGCATTTCTTACCTCACTGACTTGAGATACGCCATGGCATCTCCATCATCCTCAAAATCCAGCTCCGGATCCACCGGTACCGTCGTCGAGCCCGTGGCAGATGAGAAGACGTATTTCTGTCCCCACGTCGGATCGATGTGAGCATTTTGGTGGTCGCGCGCCTTGTTGTTCTTGTTGCGTTTGGACGCGGGCTGCTGCGCGCCTTCGTTGCCCTCGGAGGCTTCGTAGCTGCGTTTCGAGGCCATGCTTGTGGATATCTTGGAGTTTTCTGCCGCTGGGCCCAGGAGGTGGTCTGGGAAGGGCAAAGAAAAAGTCGGCGATTCTTGTGCAGTGCTGGCGTTTGCGAGAGGTTGACGAGTCCCGGTCGCGAAATTTCCCCCTGGGTTGGAGCTTCTGCCTCCCGGCGCTGATCCCCAACTTTTCAGTGGAGAAATGTCTTTATTTAGTGGGGCTTCGTCACCGGGCTAAAGCCATCCGACTAGCTTCGGGACAATGAAGCTTTTGCGACATGTCTTGAGAGTAACAATCACTATTGTATGCCATGTGCTGACAAGCACCAGATTCCAGGACATAGTATGCTAGCTCCGCTTATGCATTGACGGTAGACTAGAACTAAGTATCGATAAGAAATGGATTCTGAGGTCTGAAGAGCAATTATACCTACTTGAATACGTGTTTTCAATTTCATGTCATTAAGTAATAGACTCAAAAAGAACTAACAAGTTGACCACCATGATTGGGTTGCGAGGGTGAGGTCAATGAAGATATCTCACTCATTAGCTTGCCAATA